CCTGTCGTTGAGCTGAGAAACATGATATATCACATGACATGGTTTCGTTAGAATCGACCATTTTCTTAGAGCCACACCCACTGTGGGTGTGGTTTAACAATTTTAGGTATTACATCGAAACCCCCTAGTCGAGCTGAGAAAAATGATATATCACATGACATTGTTTCGTTGAAATCGAAAAGTCGCCGAGGACCACACCCACAGGGGGTGTGGCATGTGACTATTAAAAATTTGCACATATAATGTATGCCTTAGGTTATCGTTTCACACCAAAATCTAATTCTTGTTTCTTCAAATTCGGCTCCTATATATTTTTGGCCACAATTTATTAAATCTGGCCCATAGTGCAACGGTACAAATAATCTATCAATATTTAACAGTATCGCGGCCAAGAGTAAAATTTGTAATGCCTGTTCCGCCCAAGTTTTCAACGGGAAAATTAATTCTTCCGACTTTATTGACACCTTAAAACCTTCAACATTCACAAAAAATCCTACATTTCGCATCTTTATCGATTTCCATCACACTCCAGACCTTAATTCTGCCCCCCCCCCTCAAACAGAATCCACCACACCGATTGAGCCCAATCCTTTAGCACAATTTCGAAACAATATTTTACAGAGTGTCCAAATCTTAAGGGGAAACACATTCACCGAATTTTGTCGTAAGGGGTGTACCACAATTACAAAATTTCACGATTTCCCACTAAATGCGGACCTTTCCTTGGGTCGATTTAACCTGGATGATGAGCACGTTACGCTACCCATGTTTAACCAAATAGTGGGCAAAATCAGTAGTGCTGAGCTCCCTTTGGTCGACAGCATCTGCATGACATGACATCCTCGTACCTTCATGATTTCAAACTTTTTCGTACCTTCGAATATAGAGCTTGCCTAATACTTTATTTCTTGGTCAGAACAAACGTAATGATTGCAAAATTCGACCCGAACAAAGGCCTAGGTTTTTTAAATTATCCCAAGTTTTACAGCATTTCAGGAAATATTGATGCCATCAATATTATTCCACACGGGCAAAAATACGATGGTTTGTTTTACTCCACGTTTGTCAATAAATCTGAACTCGTGTCAGACATTATGCTCCCGAAACCATTCGATATTTACGTTTGGGTTGCATTTCTCTGCAGCGGGATCGTTTTATCCGTAGCATTGTGGCAATTACTGGAAAAACGGTGGAGCCAGCTGGATTTAATTTTACTTTGGATTTTTGCCTTCGCCGTGGGACAAACGAATGAAACTCTGGAAAATCAAGTAACAAAAAGGGTGAAAGTGGGCTCCGTCATTATTGCGATTTGGGCAGGAATGATGATAATATTAATGCACTCGTATGCCGGTTTATTCTACTCATTGTTATTCTCAGAGGTAAAAGTGGATTTACCCGATAATTTAGGAGAACTTCTTAATATTTCGGGTATTAAATTGTACACATTTCACAACCCGACCATTGAAGGATTTAGCATTTCGGTGGATGATTTATTTGACAAAGTGCCCCAACTAAAAGGAGGATGGAGGCAGGTGGAAAAAATTCAGGCGATACTTGGGAAGGGAATATTTCTCGATACGATTCTTGCCCTTGCGTTTCAAGGGTTCGTTCGCAGCACGAGGGTATCTGGGAAATTTATTATTTTTCAGAATTCGGATTGTTTGAGAGAAATTGCAAGATTGATGAAGGAGACGGGAAGATTTGTGGAACTGAGGAATACTGACAGTTATCTCGTGGATTCTAGATGGGCTTGGGTTTCATCGAGGGATCGAGTTGGTCACGTGTTTGGAAATTTTCTAGCGGGACTGCATGAATTTGGGATTTATTCGTATTGGATTAATCGATGAGAAAAGTATATGGATACTTCTGAAGTTAATGAACTTAGGTATCGAATGAGCAAATTTAATGGTGGCAGGAGGTTGGAGAATTGGAAAGATGTACCGCTCTCACTGGGGCAGGTGGGGATGCATTTTGCCCTACTTGGGGTAGGGTTAGGAGCTGCGGGCATTGCTTATTTGGGTGAAAAAGTATGCGATTTAGTTAATAAACTTAAATATGTAGGTAGATTGTAGTTAAGTTGTGAAAATGTTAGAAATTAAAAAAATTAAGAGTATAAAGTAGAATTTAATGCTTAATAAGCTATTTACATATATTATGTGTTGGAATAATGCAAATATTGCACTAACGATTGTAATTAACTATGTATACTCTTAACTAAATCTTTGTTTCGTTTCAACCTACATATTTTTGATATGACTCAAGAAGTATATAATAAATAAATACATGTTAAAAGTGAAAATTTCTCAAAAATACATACAAAACTGATGCAATTAAATTGGACTACTCGATAAGATGAGGGATCATGACGTGAAGGATTTTAAAAGGTGTTCGAAAGTATCCTTTGAGTGATATGAGTTACGAGAGGTTAGCGTATGCATTATTAGAACTTTACCATTTTTACTAAAACTTTCACTTCGAAAATTATAGGTTTTTTGAGTACTTATAATTGCGTAAACTTTACGTATATATATGTATTTGAAAACAAAGTTATGTATATCCGTTTTCAGTTTAATTTTAAAGCAATTAGATTTTGAAAGTTTTAATTCCGAAGTACATACGTAATTAATTACTCTCATGTTTCAAAACATATTTATGTCACTTTAACACATCTGAAGATGAGATTTATCGTACCTGGATATGTGTGAATGTGTCTGTCCTCCGATCCTGCCTATAGTGGTATTCATACATATGATTTGACAGGTTTGTACATAAATAATGCAGGGAAAATTCTGTTGTGAACTGGCATAAAAATACAAAAATATTGATCTGTTTTCTTACTAGTTAATTTTCTTAGTGTTTCTGGTCAATTTCTATGATAGAATGAATTGCTAATCTCGTCTCAATATTATTCCATAATGTCATATATATAATTTTCAATTTTCTTATTTTTTCCATCCCTTTGGCGAGCCATATTCCAGCTCTGTTACCCATCGTACATAATTTAATGATATTTGTAATATGTAATACGTATTTCCTGTAGTTGTTGATGTCAACATTAATCCTGTCTTGATACGGTAAACGATGCAGGAGACCGTGGCACGTAGGCAAAACGTTAAAAATTGAATAGAACGGGATAGAATTGTTTGCCTGTTTGGTTTCCAGATTAAGTATTTATCTTCCACGAGTCGTCAAAATTGAGTGGAACAATCGATATATCGTTACCTATCTATTACATCGAATTAGTATGTACATAATCGTGATCGTGAAGGATTTTCCACTATCAAAAGTTCTAAAACGTTATGGCTATGGCTTTTTGAAGTTTGCTAGGCGTCTCCAAGAAATTAGATTTTTTTAAATAATTGATCTTCCAGTGTATATTGCAAAAATCAAACACTAACTGCGGTCGGTAATACGAGTTCCTCTAGTCTCTAGTCCAATCGATTATGTGTTATGGATGCTTGCGAAGCCAGTTGGAAAGTTCAAATAGCCCATATTGGAAACCAATTATTGTCACATTTTTCGTAGTCGTCTTTGCATCAATAGTTATTTCTTTACTCCATTTGTTCCGTGTCCGCAATGATGTCGTTTGCCTGTTGAATGCTTCAGAAGATGTGGAAAGGAAGTATCGCGAGAAAGGTTAGAATTTGCTCGTAGTTAAGTAATTTTCAAGGTGTCCACGAGAAAGTGTCGACATAAAGACCAAAGTCAATATTACACTTTCGTTAATTTTGGGAAATGGGCAGATCCTTATCCGTGTTGACACCTATTTAGTTCGTCTAGTAAAGGGGTTATATTTAATAATATTTGTAAGTATGCTTGCAAGTCGTACAATCTAGGTCTTCAATCTAGGTTCTGTCACAATCGTGACAGAACCAATCGGAGTTTTCTTTGGGTACCTCGTACGACCTTGTATGCCACCTGCGTTTATGACTATGGCAATATTTCCATGCTCTGCGTGGGATGCTGTTCCAAATCACTACGTGATTAATTTGATTCCAGCAATATTTGGGGCATATTTTGGTTCATTGATCTCCAGCACACCTGTATTTCTGATTATAGTTCTGCTGGTGTATCCTGTCGAACTACAGCTGCTTCTCTTAAAGGAGTTAAGATGGTAAGTATAAAGAAGGGTGTGCTATTTAGGTAGGATAGATTTAGAACGGATGGATCAATTTATATTTTACTTATGAGCTGAATTATTTAACAATTGATAAATTACTATCCATATGACATATTCGTCCAAGTAAACGAAAATTTCAGACATCTAACAAATTTTTTAGGTTTGCTGAAATTGGACAGAATCAGTGTTAAATAATTCAGAGACGATCTTCTTTTCGTTCCAATATTATCCTCCTGCCGAAACTTACATTTCATAATTTCTTCGTTCACGATTTATAATAAGAAATGGTTATTATACTAATCGTTCATTATATTTTGTCTTGTAGCAAATTGAAATCAGGAGGAGCAGGTCGTTCAGTCTTACTTCGTCACTATAGAAGATTTAAGTTGTTAAGCCGTCTGCATAAAAATGCTTGGAAAGACCCAGTTATGCCCTTTGTGATTGGGGTTATAACAGTGATTGAAAGTACCTCGCTCTATGTTCTTATCGCGTCGCACCATGAACTCACGTTGGCCGTACTGGGGTTATTTTCCATTGTGGCGATCGACTGTTTAATCGTCATTCACTGTTTCTTCAAAATTATGTCGTACCCATACACGAGATCCGTGGAGTTGGTTCAAATAGCAAGGAGAGGAATAAAAAATTGCTCCAGGTGGGAAGTGAGATTTGTGAAGTCGTGGCATCCATTGACAGTAGAGATGGGAAATAACACGTTTTTTGATAGAATGACATCCCTCACGATTTGGAAGATGAGTACGGATATTTTAATTACGTTCTTATTAATGTAGAATGAATGTTGGCTCAAAAATAGTTACAAAAGTCCTTACATTTTGTAGATGTATTTATTTTGGCGCAATATAAAATAAACAAAACTGAAAGATAACCTGCTGAATTTTTTGTCTGTATTTTTTTCGAACAATGATTACAACTTACACTGAATAGATGTAATACATATGTAGGTATTGTCCGTAGCGACTTGTTATTTATATAAAAATTACAATGTTTCCCAACATACTTATTTTAACAGAATAAATTATAATTATCATGTATCGGTGAAAGCATGTTAAAAAATCATAATTTTTGTGTAATTAAACAGTTTAGTAAGTAGTAATTTAGCTTGTATGTCCATATGAATCATGAACGCAATGTGGAAGTATTATTATGTAAATTTGCACGTTGTTGACACTGTATTTTAACAAAGAAAGAAAATTTAATAAATATTTACAGGGAATTACAAATTAAAAGGTAATGTCCATCTTTTAACGAATTCGAACATCTGAGCATCCACGGAACTATAATTTTTAAGAAATAGTTATGATTAAAAAATGTACTTCCATCCTTGAAATAAATACATATAATTCACGCATACCGTTTCTTGTGGCCCGCATCCCTAAAATATCAGTAAATACAATTACTTTAGTAAATTGCAATACATACCACTATTAAATAGCTAAAAATTAGTTTTAAACATACCGCTGCCGACGTTCCATTTCCACAATCACCCCAACCATTTCCGGCTCGATAATTCCACTGAATTATGCAGTGATCGCATCTAACGCCCGAGGGAAGTTGGAGCTTTGATCGCATCAATCCTGTCGGTCCAGCGGGAAGCTTGGTCGTTCCGGCACCAGGACCTTCCACAATTCTGAGCACGTTTTGGTTGAAACAAGCCTGCATAAGTGGGATAAATTATGAGACAATTCATAAAATCATTGGTAAGTAAAGTATCAAATATGTAAGTTTTAGAAAATAATTTGAATAGTAATAATTAAAATAGTAATAATTTGAATAATAACGTGAAGTTTCTCATTGTAACTTAATACGCAAATATATGACTGAATTTCTCACAAACCTGATTTTCTGTCTGGGGGTTAGTACAGAGACGAAATTCCATGGCACCCAAGTGGCTTGTGGTCAAGTCAACTTCAATATCGATGATCTACACGATTTAAAACATTTGTGTGTAAAAATGTTTGTGACTTTTGTCCTAAAATTTGTATTTCGCAAATTATGAATTTTACCTGGCCAGCAGAATAGTCTCCCGTGATGATGCCTTTGTAATACGTGCCCCCAATCTCGTTGGGTCGTGGGACTGACTCCGAGAATCCATCGCCACAAACGCCTGTTTCAATATTTCAATATAATATTTCTTTAGTTAATACACATTCAAAAGCTTTATCTTTATCTTATCATTGTCTTATCTTACCACAGTTGGTCCCTGGTTCATCAGCCTGGTGAGCTCCACCGCAATATAATTGATTATCGTTATAATTTGGGGGTGGATTTTGTCCAGCAAATTCTGGCACTCGCCAAATTGAGGAACGATTTGGTGGCTACGGGAATTAATAAAAAATGTAAAACCCATGAGACAGGATTTAGCAATCAAAATTGCAACAAAAAGATCTTTAAAAATTTGACAGAAATGTTTTCTTTTTATTTCGAGAAATAATTTTATTTGCTCACCTTCATGAACCTCCCATGAGCGTCGACCTGTACGTCAAAAATTTTTAATTCAAAAACCAATTCAAAATTTTGATTTAAAAATAGAATAATGCAAAAAATTTAATTTTTTTACTTACAGCGATGAGAAGGCCGCCACTGAGGACGAGGGCGAAGGCGAATAAGTGTTGCATTTTTTGGAGGATGTTTTTACTGGTGGTGGTTTGAATGTTACCGTTTTTGGAGTGAGTGTGACCATACGTTGGACTCGGTCCAGCTTTTTATGCTCGGCTCAAGTGGGATGAAGTAACGTTTGCAAATTCTGGAGTGGGCAGGTGTACACATTTTTGTGTAATTGGGAATTGAACATTGATAACAACAATCGACAAGATAACTGAAAAGTGAGTGTGAGCATTACGTGCTGGTAAGTTTGTGATGATAAGAATTCCCATCACCTAATTTGTATGATTTACAATGGTTGCATAATTTTGACAAAGTTCGTCATTACAAATATCTAAAAATCAGTATTAATCTCATATCGGTACTTTGGAAAAAATGGCAAATACTTATAAGTAACTATTTGCAGGCAAAGTTTCTGAGAAAAATTACACTCATGTCATGCATAGGTCTGGTGAGCTGTCAAACTGATAATTGTGTAACGCAGTCATCAATCAATTCACTCTTGAAATAATTTCCCAAGATTATTTAACACGCCTGAATTACTCGATTATGATATGTAACAGCACGAGGCATTTCAGATAAGCTTAATTAACAAATACTGTCATCCATCAATCAAAAATTATTTATTGCGCTGTACACAATTACATAAATTCCATCATTGTGGTACAGCGTTACAAGCATAATTTGTCAATTAATTTGCATGCTCGATGAGCGTGATGGAGATACACACATACATACATAAGTGGTACATATTTAGTTACCATGCATCATGGTCATGTTAAGCTGCTAAAAATGTGATAAAATCACATATGTACTCCGGACTCGTGTTGATTTGGTAGTGGCTTTCTACCAGCTGGGTAGTAATTTATTTCTCAGTGGTAAATTTTTAATTAGCACAATATTATTAAGTAAACGATCAGGCCTGGTATTACCAATGCCCATAATAATGTAAGAGTTTAAATCAACCTGTCAAGTTTCGAAAATTAATATTTTTTATTTAATATAATTTATCTATATTTATTTAATTTAATATATTTAATATTTTATTAATATTTTTTATTGATTTGCGATACGTTGGCAGGTGACTGGAAATGGTAACAAATATGATATCATTAGAGGAAATAAATATGTATTAAATACAGCAAGAAATTGCATGCACAGGAACAATTTCAACAACTTAATTATAATTAAATATTATAATTAAGTAGTTCATTTCATAATTGCACTTGTACTACACACATACATATGTATTTGTACTTGAAATTAAGTTTTAAAATGGTCAAGCTAATAATTATAAATGTGCATCATGATGATTAACAAATGGATGCATGCCGACGAATTTGAGCATCATTATTATTTTGTCCCGAAGATAGAACTTTGAGTAATAAAAAATGGACAGTTTTCACAACGATTTTTTAATTACTCGAACATTTAGAAAAATTTATTACTCCGATATCATTTCCATTTCCATGATTTTCGTGCATGGTTGTGCATTTTTGTGCACTTTTCCGGATGTTTGATGGGTACAGCTATTACATGTAAATGTATGCGTTTATAAACATTTTTGAGCACAATAAAATTTGGTGCCTTTGTTTTTAATTAGCAAACACAGTTTTCTAGAATCACCACAACTGAAATTGTCTAATAGAAGGCTTTATTTACCCAATACGTACTTATGTACATATGCAAATTATCTTGTCAATACGAAAGATTGTCAAGATAACAAAAATTGGGTTTTGTTATACCTGATAAAAGATGCATTATTTAAAACAGAGGCATTGAAAGGATCGTGCGCGTAGAGTGTCATGGTTTATTTTAGAAGAATTATCACATGTAGGATTTATTTATATTGCATATATACTAAAAATCGTTAAGAAGAAGTATTTACGACACCTGTACGAAAAAAATGTAATCCTCAAAATTTCCGAAAAAAATAAAAGTAAAAGTAAAAGAAATACAAGAAAGTAAAAGCAAAGTAAAAAAATATCGCTCATATCGTTGAAATAAATACTTATGTAAAAAATATTTTTATTTTTGAAAAAATATACAAAATACCTATGTACATACATACGTATTTTCTTAACCAACTAATAAGTATGAATATATAATTAGTAAATATTAATTACCAATGTCTGAAACTGTAGAAATAGATATGTCCAAAAATATTTTAAAATTTCAAATCTATACAAACAGTAAGAAACAAATCGAAAAAGTTTGGCCGTCTATCGACATAAAATGAAAATAAATACAAAAAGAATATTATGTATTGAAAAATAGCATGCAAGTAAAGGGTGTAAAATCCATGACATGCTTCATGCGCAGACCAGCCGTGCAAAATGACCCACTACATACCCGAACTTAAAAGTTGAATGGCTCAGTTGTTTAATTAGTGCAATTAGGATATTAATTCGTTGGCAGTTTTGCAACCAGTAGCGGATTGACGAAGTGTTTACCTACATATGTGCATACCTCGAGCAGGTCAGGATCTTATTTTTGCGGGGAATCCCTACACAATGAGATAAATATGTATTATGAGAATGATTGACTGGCATGTGTATAATTAGCATCTTGAACTGAACTAACCTACCTCATCGAAATGAAAATTGGTCTCTAAAGACGAAAAGAAGGCAACATTTTAGGTAAGAGTATGCACTTGTGATTACATACGTCACGTGGTAATCAAGTTATTATTAAAATAAGATGGACACCCTCTTAAAAATAATGTTGCCTTTTTGAAAAGTAAATGCAGCCTGGTTTTTATGTTAACATATCTATTTTGTAGTGTCGATTTTTTAATACAATTTCTGGTAAAATTTTCATAATTTCCAATAAAAGAATAATATTTATTTTAACCTGTTTTCAAGCTTTGAGTTTTTTAGAGAAACATAAAAATTCACTTTTTAAGATTGGTCAGTACAGGGAAAATTTCATAACTTGAAAATCAAAGTATTAAAAAAATGAATTTTTTGCCTTCGAATTTCCACAAATTATCAAAGAAATGCGCTTATTTTTTTACTTTTTGCATGAGTGTGTGCACTGCAAAAATTACACTGGCACCATAATTTCTTGAAAATAAGCGTATTTAGTATTTACTTGATAATTTGAGGAAAACTAATAAAGTATTTTTAAGAGTGTATCATATTTTAGCAAAAGCTAATGAACAGATACATACATACGCAGTTTGCATGGCTTATTTGAGTTGCGAAATGTGTCATAAATTCCCTACCCCGGTGGAGAAAATTTACATACTAATTATTGAAAACTTAGTGACTTAATCCATAGCTTTAAAATTATTATAATTAAAAGTGTTAGATAAAACAATTTATGCACAGGGAATGACTTGGTAGCGAAAATGTGTGGTCATGGGCGGAATTACTATGTATCACAGATGTGACATGATTCGATTAAGGTATGCCTCAAATAAATACGTACTGATGACCAAATATTATTATATTATGGGAATCTCCATGAATTACCTCGTCGAAAAAGTGAGCTTTAAAACCATCTATTATCCTATCCTTTCGGATATAGGTTGTCTGTGTCAAGAGTCATATTCGTCGTAATGGTCATAAATATATTTAATTTTAGATTTGACCATACAACTTGTTAAATTCCAATGTGACCAACAAGCATGACGGATAAATTGGATATTTATAAGAATTTAAACTTGTCAGATTTGTCAAATGTTTTAAAACTCTGACAAATATGTCAATTCGTCAATGACATGTCATGACCGAACAATGTTAAGCTTAAAACGAGTATCAAAGATATCAGTACCCAAACTACCCATCAACTTTTAAATTACGTAGTGTATGGATGTTCCCCATTTGAAAGTTACCTCAAAACATTCCAGGCTTGTTAAGTACATACATAAGTACATAAACGAAGCAGAAGTATAAATAGGTGGTTCTGAGACGTTTCTAAATTGGGAAATGGACAGCTTAGGTATGTATTTCCGATTTCAACCAATCCGAATTCGACACGGCATCGAGTTCATAAGAACATTTACCAACCTGATTGAATTGTGTAAATACTCAATAAAAGTTTGAACACAAAACGTAGCAAAGGGGAGAAACACATACATATGCATCGCGGTGCGTCATCTTCGGCTAAACATTTTTTGATCGTTTAGAACGGTCGAAACTAAAATTTCGACAATTTGAACCTTTGACCTCAACTCCAAGATTATGTGGTCAATTTCTGCAATTTCCGCCCCAAAACTAAATTTTGGAAACGCTTGACCTCTGGCCTCATAACCGTGGCGCCGCTTACGATTTTACAACCTGCATATTAGGATTATCATCGAAGTTCGATGATCGAACTGAACTTCTAATAAAAAATAGAAACATGACGGTTAAAACCGTATCTCGAATTCCGCATTTACTCCAAAGTTATCATGGATACAAAACTGGCACACGGACGGACCATACATTCCCATGAAGTGATTTACTCCCCATAATATGTAATTATCATTATCCACAAATATATAGCATTTACATAATCGAGACGATTACTTAACTGCAGGATTTCATGGACTTATCCAACCGGTCCTCCTCAACTGGTCCATATACATAAAGCTCGTTTCATCACTGGTAAAATTGACATAATGAGACGAGCGTCATAGATGAGTTTTGGGCGTTCCGGATTAAGAATAATTGCTAAAATGCAACAATTTCTCCAGTCTCGATCTCAGTGATAATTTGCACCTTCAACCGATAACAAGAAGTTCCCATAACATATGTCGAAGTGAGGAAAAATTTTCTGTCTAAATCTGGAATTGAACAAAACTTTAAAAATTTGGAAACGAAGCCAGCGTGAAGTTGTTCAAATTTTGTGAATAGGATACATTTAATTCAAGCAATTTTATTATGGCATTGCGAGTAATTAATGGGACGAAGTCGTACTTTAAAGGAGCCTACATTCTGAAAGATCTCAATATGAGTGTTGATCGGGGTGAAATGTAAATTTGATACTTTTAAGAAATTAAAATTTCTTAAAATGTTTTCAAAATTTTTAACAGTAAAAAATTGTTAATATAATATGTGGTTAATTTATTTAGTTACGGACTTCTTGGTGCGAGTGGGTGCGGGTGAGTTATTTAAGTTTTAAGTCTATAATACGTTTTTGAGATATTTTAGCAAATTTATGCATACATGTTCAAAGAATATTTATTCATTCAAAGCCTTCAAAAATATTCATTCCTTATTTGTAAAAAAATATTCATTAATTATTCAACATTCATTCATTATTCACCATTCCATCATTATTCATTTTATTCAAAATTCGCAGTATTAGATGAATTTCTCAACTTTCCCTATGTATGTATTAAGCATTGAGTAAAAAATGAATAATGAAAAAATATTCATTCACACGAGTTGAATAGAGATTCATCAAACATTCATTTATTCAAAAATCAGAATATAATATTCATTAAATATTCATCCAATTTTTTAATATTGAATGAATAGTTTATTCAATTATCATTAAATAAGTGAATGTGAACAGATATGAATCTATGTAAGCACAAATTATTCAAATTTTTAGTGCCAATATTTTAAATGTAAAAGTATGATTTTTTTAGAAAGACGACACTTCTCTCTTGCGTCGTGGGCTTGCGACGGCTCGACAGCGGCGACCTTATCGTCTTCGGACATGAGAGGAACGGTCATCTCGGTCACTTGTGCGGCTACATGCCGCAAGTAAGGAATTTTCTGAAATTTGGCAAATATAAATAAAAAAATTTACAAAGTTACAAAAAATATCTCAGACGAAATTTATTACAAAACCATTTTGAAATTTATCTAGAAACTCAAACCTTTAGAAAAATTAGGTATGACATTTGCAAAATTTATGAACATTTTATTATAGGACATTTCTCTCCTGAACGTGTTAACAATTGAGGAAGTGCTGCATCACTATGGACTCATTTATGGCATGTCGGGAAAAGCGATACAAAAGAAGATAGATTTCCTCACCGGCTTCCTCGACTTGCCAGAAAGGTCGAGACAAATTCAGCATTTGAGGTGCATAAATTTAAATCAGAATCAGTTTATTGGCAGGAAATTTGTGATTCAGAATATAAATTTATGTACAGTGGGGGTCAGGCGCGCAGGGTGTCCTTGGCCGTCGTTATGATCCACAATCCCGCCCTTCTCGTCCTCGACGGTAATAATTTAAGAAAACGTATAATTAAGATTAAAATGATGTAATTTACTGATGACCCCATTTTTTAGAACCTACGGTAGGCCTGGATCCTCTGTTACGACAAAGGTATGAAATTCACGGAATGTTTTTTTGCAAATAACTAATCAAATATGTATAACTATCTAAATATGAATTAAACTTTCAGAATTTGGGAACATTTATTGGAAATTTCACGCACGCGAAGGACAACGATTATAATTTCTACACATTACATCGAGGAGTGCAAGCGGTGTGATAAGGTTGGTAAAATTAAATTATTGATTAAAACTTTTTTGTAAATTGTAATTTATTTTTTCGAGATTTTCTAAATTAAGAAGGAACATAATTGGTTTTCATGACCACTACGAGTAAAATAAATTTATACTTCTTAATGTTCCTAATCTAGATTAGGTAAACACTTATTTCGAAATTTTGTTCAAATTTTTATATCAAGTATTTGATACGTAAAATTTTACTTACTACCGAGCAAAACTTTGCAAAGCCGATATTTTCTGCAATATTCTACAGACAACATTTAGATCGAAGGATTTGTGCAAAAAACTAGTTAAGAATTGGAATATAGCCAATAAATTTCCCAAGAAATATTGTACTTGAAATTGAAAGAAAGAGATATCTATGTATGACTTCTAAAATTGCAATTGGACTTTTTCCCTTGTTTCGTAAGGTCGGGTTTATGCGGGGCGGTCAACTTCTCGCGGAGGACTGTCCTTCCGCCCTGCTCAAAATGTTTGGTGCCACCACCCTCGAGGAAGTGGCGCTGCACCTTTGCCGTCTCCACGAGGCCCGTCCCTCCATCAGTGAGGCCACCAAGGAGGCCTTCGTCAGGGGAAAATCGTTCTCCACGGGGGACAAGAAGGAGGTTTCTGAGGACGAGGAGTCAGGCGTCGTGAAGGCGAAAACGTACCGCAGGTTGTCCATCACCCTGCAGGACAACGTCGTCCTCTCCCCCGTCAATGTGGAGACGGACCACACATCAGTCGTGTACGCCCTCGTGCTCAAAGCGTGGCGGAGGAGAAAACGTGACTGGAGGTATGTATAAAAACTAATTTCAGAATGTATTTATACTCTTCATAAAATAATGTTCAATTCTGAAAATATAATGCAATCTGAAATTTTAATGAAGTTAAATATACATACTTACTAGATCTGTTTTGAGAGACTTCGAATTGATTAAGAGTAAGATTTTCTATGGCTTTAGCATAGTTTACTTAATTTAGAACTCAGACCTCACACCTATTTAATCATTAAGTTGAATTAAGACACCTTATCATTAAGTGTGCATCATTAATAACGGATCCTTAAGGTCGGTCATGACGGAATAAATTTTAAGGGTTCAGATTTGTCGTTGTTTTGGCGGAAAATTTTCTCCAAATTGGTATGAACTCCATAATAGCACATGTCATTCATAAGTTTTTTAACTACATCCAGACGAAAAAAAACGTCTTTTTAAAAAAAATCTTAAATTACGTTATTTTTTAAGAAACTTAAACGGAAAACATGTGCATGTGTTTTTAATAAATTGCACTTTATCTAGGCTCGTGTTTACTGAACTGTTAATGCCCGTCGTTATCCTGATCGTGTTGCAAAACGTGGTTGGTCTGGAGCCGAGAAATATGGGCGTTTCGTTAGTCACGGGAAACCCAAATATAACAAATAACGCACAACTAGAGAAATACTGTGAAGAACGAGACGTACACAGAAGAAATGTTTCGAACCAATGTTTAGAAAATTTGGGAATCTGTGATTTCCTCAGAAATTTCAAACCTCACGAGTTTGACTGGGTAATGAGAACAATTTTTAATCGATTTTTTGTAATGACTTAAACCATGTTTGACTCTGCAGTGTGTTCTATGTAAATACCGAGAAATAAATAACTGCATGAAAACAGCAGATTTCTAAAAGCTAAAATGTTTCAGTTGACGACACTTTCTTGGGAAAATGGTTTGAATCACATTCGCGACGGGAGGGCAATTGCCGTGGTGGCGTTCCCGCATAACTACACGAACCACATGAAGAACAGGATACTCGAGAAAAATTTCGCTTCGAACGAAACCATTGAGGGTACCACGATCTCGATTGCGATGGACGAGTCGAGTAAGCATTTTTGCAGAGAAGTTAATAAATTTGACATTAAATTTCAATAGTTGTGAATGTAAATTTGCACCCTAAATAACTTGGGGACAAATCGTCACCCACGGATATAATATCGCCAGGGTACGCGACGTGGGGTTTCCGGTAACAAAACGCTTCCAGAACCGGTATCAAAAAATTGGGGGATATGGTTTGTACATAAATTGACATACTACCTCCGTGGGTGACGATTTATCCCCGAGTATGCATACGAGAATTATGAAGATTTACTTATTCCTTTTTTTCTAGCTGTTATAACCACCGCCTGGGTAAAGCAACTAATTGTGACGAACTACTTGAAATACGTTACCGCCATGGCTACCGCATGTGGCGGAAGTGAAGAGTCGGTCCAACCACCGCTCCACGTGAGTAAAAATTCCAGGCCGTAACTGCACAGGTCATACAATGTCCTGTTTCTCATGGACGGACATACTTAAAAAATATTAAGAAATCTAAATGAACACAAAATACAGTTAGTCAATCGATAAAGGGACAAATGACACGCTCATTCTACCCACTAAACGACGATATGCTAGAATGACGATAAATTTGTGATACCCGATTCTTGTTTGTTTTATAGTTCAACGCGATCTATGGAAGTATGGGGATTGAGAGCGTTATACGATTTTTCGAGCCGGCTTTGCTAGTTATGTGAGTTATGTAAATTTGTGAATATCCCTAATACAATTTTATCTCCAATGAATTTATCAAGGGTGGTGATTTAATTCTCTTGTAAAAATGCGATTGATATGCAAAGATTTGCATATCAAACTTCGAGATATTTTCTTTTTACTAGAGATACGTTGCTATGTAAATTTGTCTTTTCGCAATTTGTACTGATTAATCATAGCTTTAACTCTATTATTCTGACCTTGTGAAAATTTTCGAAAATTTGTGTCGAATTCCTATTAAACCATTGGATGAATTAATTAAATCAGCACCCTTTAAGATCTCCATGATCAAAGGAAATCCAGCTTTGAATGAGTTATCATCAAATATTGAATATTTGTATGTTTCTTCAGGGTGATGATGTTCCTATCGCAGTCGACGGGCTTGGGATGGATTGTGGATCGCATGGAAGGATTGGAAGATCGGGATTATGCGGCCGGCGTGACGTTGGGACATCGTATCGTTGCCTCCGTGGTTATTGACTCAATCAAGATTGTCATTCAGGGGAGCATTTTCGTAGTTTTGTTAACTGCCGTGTACGAGATGCAGGTCAAAGGGTCGTGGGTACTCATGGTAGCGCTCATTTTCATAGCGTCCTTCGAAGGAGTGGCGATCGGTAAGTAAATACATAAATGTCGTTTTTTACCTTCTGATTTAAGTTTATTGATACCAACTTTTATAACTGGAACTGTTACAAACTAATATTTTTTATTGATTTTTTTTGCCAGGTTGGATGATTGGAACGTTACGGGATAAAGCGCTGGAAGCCATAATTCTGGTTCTTTTTATCGTCATTACGCAGGGTGCAGCTACAGGTGGGTATATTCATTGAGATACAATTCACCACGATCTATCTAGTACCAACTCGCGGATTTTCCGGCATCATTCTAGTTCTGAAAATTTGGTGCAAGTTTTCAAAACTATTGTTCCACTTATAAATGTATTTACCCTTTCGAAAAGGTAGTGCATCAGTAAATAAATTAATTTAAAATTATGTAAACTATTAAATGCAGAATAATGTATACAAACTTTAGAAAGTGTACTCGTGGAATATTTCCTCCTGATTTAATGTAGTTTACTTAATTTAAAATTTACAAATGTATTTACTTTATAGAGGGATAACATTATTTTTAAGTGTGTATGAACACCAGTAAAGTAATAAGTTATTTTCGTGATAAGTCACGTGATTGGACACTACAATAGAAAAATGGAGCGTTAATACCGCTACTTTCTTTGGCAAGAATTATATTAATCGTGTTTCCAATTTTGCAGGAATGTTTTTCAACTTGGAGTGGGCGCCGGAATATTATCGCAACTATTTCAGCCACTGGCTACCCGCTACCTATCCGAACGAAGCGCTGCGTTCCATCATTTCAAGGGGGTGGGGTTTGGAGAACTTTTATGTAACGAGAGGTTTCTTAATGGGTCTGGGATGGACGTTGGTCTCCGTTTTGATCGTGCTACTGGCAGAAAGTCGGAAACATAAGTAATGAAGCGGGGTTAATTTTTAATTGGCTGGAATTTGTTTATAGATATGAACTGCACTCTAAGAAACCCGGTAATAAAGTTATAACCAGGCGGAGTATCTATATGACTCTACCGCATGGCGATTAATTTATTATTGAGTGGTAGCCATTTTGTTACCAAACCGGTAATAACCCCGGTCGCCAAATTTGAAAATATTACCAGTTGGTAACTAATTTTCCACCATTCAATAATAAATTAATTACCATGCGGTAGAGTCACATAGATACTCCGCCTGGTAATAACTTTATTACCGGATTTCTTAGAGTGTGGGTGTAAGCCCAACCGTGTTTTAAATTAATAAGGCGATGACGCTAGAGGTCTCGCTCCAAGTTTATGATGGAATCCGTAAGCGAGAATTTACATTTCTCATAAAATTGTTCACTGACAAAACTTTAAATTCTCACTTACGGATTCAGTCATGATTTCTTTCAAACTGAATGTTTTGAAAAATTCTTACACACGTGCTAAATTATTTATGTAAATAAGATTGTGGGGTCAGACCACAATCTAGACCTCAAGCGTTGTCTCTTTGTAAATAACAAATAGAAATATTTCCCTTATTTTTAAGAAGTCTAAAAAAATAATGAGTCAACTATCTGGTGTCACAATTGTGCAAAAAGGTTTAGGATGACGCTTTGAAAATCCTTGTGCGTACTGATTTTAATTTCAGAGTTAAAATAATATTAATTTGAATAAATTTAAATAATTTGTGTAAATCTATGTACATATGTACTCTTTACTTCAACTTGGCAATGTTTAACTAAACTTTAATAAAAATAACTAAGGGGAGGTTCATAAACTTGATAACGTAAAGAAGGGCAATGGTGGTTAGGGTTGTGTTATTTATGTTATGTATGTGGCGCAGGCCCCGATTTAGGGGCGGGCAACCCGGGCAGCTGCCCGGGGCGCCGGCAGGCGCCCGGGTTTACACTAGATATTATTGAATTTTCCTGTTGTAAACTTTGAAAATATTTTCTTGGGGTTTTTATGTTTATCAAGTTTAGACAACTCATTGCGACAGTTCTGATGTATTGATGCACCAAATTGTTGTGTTAACCTCTACTTTGCTCAACATGTAAATTCTCTTAAACTTAAATTTAAAATGATATGCCTGGCAATGCATTTATGTTGAGTTTACGCTGGGGAGCAAAATAAATTGTATGATATAACAACTGTTCCATCTCGCATTGGTTACGTAGCATCTGGAGAGTTCAGAAAGATTGTGGTTTTATATATATCATTCCAATTTTTGAGAAATGTCAAAGAGGACTCACTATGCAGGTCTTTCACAGGTAAACATTGAATCTCCATCCGACTAATTTGGTATTGTTCACCACAGAAAATAAGCATTTTGCATTTTTCATAATGCGCTACTTTGAGCAAATTGTAAACTGTATGTTTTCCAACCGAAACCTCGGTTTTTAAAATTTTCGAATTTTAGCGCGAATCCAAAAATTCGGAAACATGCTTCACCAGAATGACTTACCTGGCTTATGAAAAAATCAGTTATCTCCTAATTTGAAGTTCAGAATACTTTGTCAGTATTTTAAATTGATTAAAATTATAAAGTTCAATTTTCAAAAAATATTGCATGTGGATTTTTTTATAAATGAAGTAAGGAAATCTGAAGAGACATGTTTTCAAACTTTTGGATTAGATTAACTAAAATTAGAAAATTTACAGAATTTTAAAAAACCGAGGTTCCGGCTGGAAAACAACTTACCACCTTATCAAAAATGCAAAATTCAAAAAACACGGGGACGATTTTATTTTTTTGGTGAACAAAATAAAATTGGGCTTATGGTGATCCGGGTTTTGCACGTAAATGATCCTCATTGAGTCGGTAAATGAAGGCATATTTCCAATTCCGGCGTGGGTTTGTCCCCAATTTTTACAATACTCACCAATAAATATGTAAAAGAAGTTCTTTTAAACAACTTACTATCTAAAAAGGTAAAATTTAATGTCACTTGTTTAAACGCTATCTAGATCAATGTAGTAAAATTTCTGAAGTTTTAAATTTTCAAAATTTAGACTAACAATTTTGAAGCGCTAAAACTTCTTGTTACCGACTCATATTTTTTTCCAATTTTTGGAATTTAGATTTAATAAATTTCGTTGTATTGCTAATTACATTTCCCAAAATTGAAAGGACATTATATCTGTAAAAATATTTACAAAAACGTCATGAATACAGAAGCCTATGTAAATTTACGATTTTTTCCGTTAGACATTAAAATAAAGTTTTATACGTCCAAAACGACGCTGAATCATTCTTGACCAAAATTTACACCAAATCTTAAAATGGCGCCAAAGGTTAAAAGGTTCAATTGTGATTAACAAAAAGCGAACCACACCTCCGAAATAGTGCAACACACCGCGAACCACACCAGCAAAAATCTAAAACCCGGCGAACCATACCGCGAACTACACCCGGTGTGGTTCGGTGCGCAATTTTCCGAACCTGTGGTGCGCCCATGCAGAAACTAGCCAATGTGCCAAAATCAGGATTAAAAAAATTTACAAAAAATTTGCACATTTTGGCATGTATCTCGAAAATTTGCTAAGCCCGACCCCAATATTATCTGTATTACGTAATATAGGTCTGATCAATATACTATGTCCAGAAAGTAACTTAACAGTTTTAAACTTCGTGTAATATTAAAACTACTTTGCATAACCCAAAGTGCAAAATTTATTCACGATCCTTAAGGCTTCCACCTGTTAATAATGCCTCTCATTGTCTGTCTGACCCTTTTGTATCTAATTTAGCCAATTATTTTGGAATTATGAACCAAACGATTTTTTTCCACTTTTTCCTCCACAGCTTTAAAAATTTCCCTTGAATTACTTTGAAACCTTTCACATTTTTTGGCTCCTCACGTCGACTAGTGTATTGTTATTTGCATGCAAACCAAAACTTTCCAATCCCGCGAGGTTGGGAGACATTTAGTGGCTTAATTTGTTTGGGAGCATTTTCAATGTTTTTTCCTACAAGTAGTTGGTCACAATTTTGCAATCTGACACGTTGATAAGTCCGGTCAAAATAAGACATGTTCTTTTTTTCTGATGCTTATGTATGTAGGGTAATAACGTTGTTTTTACAAACTCCTGCAGGGACACGTTGTGGTCATAGACACACTTGATTTATGGGGTTCCAAAATATCCCCAAACTCATCCATGGCTTGAAAAATTAGTCATTTTTGGGGGATTTTGTTATTTTCTATAATTTCGGTTCATCACCCACTTCATTATGATCTCGGGGATGGAAAAAGTTGCCTCCTGGAAATTGAGATGGGTTAAATGTAACCCGGTTCCATCGTCAATGACCAGTAATTTCTCCAAGCATTTTTCATGCACTTTTCGCAAACCAGTTTTTGTTCATTTCTCTTGATCCTCGACATAATTTGGAAATTTCTTGTTTGTGTGAGCAGTGAAGCCTGGTTTATGGGCTTCAATTTGGAACACGGTAGAACGATCCATTTCCATCTATTAATCATAATTGCTAAGGAATATGGGAAAATGCATATTGAAATTAATGCAAACGCAACATATCTCTTTGAGGGAGGATTTGATGGGGGTGTGGCCATCAGTGTATTTCAATCTTCAGCAGCCTCCCCATACCTTCCAATACTTCGGTAGATTGCAAATTTAGAGGTACTTCAAGCAGTAAAATTGTCCTGCAATTTTTCCTTCTATCGTTGACACACATTTTTGTGGCCGTGAAAAACACGTTTGGCGAGTCCTGACTTTCACCCCTCCGCATATGGTTCATTTTAGTCGGATCGTTTTCAAACTTTGATGACTTCGACTATCATCATTTGTCTTTCGAATGCCATAAATTTAAATTTGATAGTTTCGCAAGATCGAAATTATGCATCTCGTTTTGTACTGTTAAGTTACTTTCTGGACATGCCTTACTACGCAATTTTAACCTATTATAGATTAAAGCTGTAGGAGCTCATTGTATATGTCCATTCTAATAAGGCTTGGGTAAGAATATTTTGATCTGAAAAATATCTGATTCAGTAAAAAGCGACATGCGAGCGCCGAAGGCGCGAGCGGCTAGGGGCGCCTAATTTCTTTGCCCAGGTAAGATTTTGGGCTAGATCGGGGCCTGATGTGGCGCATGTTAAAAAAGGGTGGGTGGGCGTCAAAAAATGCGTTGCGAAGTTTAATAGGGTTCCCTCCAATAAAGCACGGTAATCTAAGTTCCTAACATGATTTTAGACTAATAATACAAGGGAGTTAATTTCAAAAAGTAACCAAAATTAATCAATTTTAAAATGATATAAAATTAATTAATTAAAAAAAAAGTTTTATGTATTTTAAAGTATTATAAAGAAAACTAAATATTACGAGCCCCTCATAATTTTATTTGCATTGCATTCCCCCACCTATTTCAAGTTGCTTGCCAGAATTTCATAATATATTTCTGTAACTTTTCCCACACAGGTAATTAAAACTTTTGTGAAACCCCGAATTCAACAATTTCATTAATTTCACTCCATCATTAATTAATTAACAGTTAATAACTATTTTTTATTAATTAAGAGCATTTAATATCGTCGTAAACAAGGTGCTAGACAGCAAGAGTGAGAGGAAGTAAATAAAGCAAAATAACTTGTCACGTTTCACCAACCACCAAAAATTGAGGGTTTTCGCACTGCCTTATTTTAATTCGCATTTTTATTGATATACATAAATTAGCAACACAAATCTGCATATTTTACATATAAGAATTTATAGATACACATGTGCATGACTCCGATACCTGACAATGTGTTATACCGATTGGATAGAACAATTGTTTGGAGGGAGAAATCCTGGACGGAATTTCAAAATGTTTGACTAAAACCGTGACAAAGAGTTCAACTTTCAATGTGATTTTTAAAAAAATCGAGTCGTTTTATTTTTTTTATTTCGCACTTTTATTTTCGTCGGGCATCTTGGATCGTAAAAATATCCCAAAACTAAATTTTAAAAAATTCAGTTTTACATACCTTCAGGTTTCGACGTTCGTGGTAATTTTAAGCATACAATTGTGAAAATGCAATAGAAACCGGAATATTTTTAGAGATATGAAGTTGGTCACAAATGCGGATTTTGAAATTTTCCACCACACCACTGCGCT